CGTCCTGACCCTCACCGTGCCAGATATCGTGCGTTTCCCATGCGCCCTCACCTGCTGCTGCGTCCCGCTGACCTCACCGCCCAGTAGTCGTGGTTCCCATGACCCTCACCTGCAGTAGTCGTGGTTCCCATGACCCTCACCTGCAGTAGTCGTGGTTCCCATGACCCTCACCTGCTGTGGTCCCGTGACCCTCACCTGCGGTAGTCGTGGTTCCCATGACCCTCACCTGCTGTGGTCCCGTGACCCTCACCTGCGGTAGTCGTGGTTCCCATGACCCTCACCTGCTGTGGTCCCGTGACCCTCACCTGCGGTAGTCGTGGTTCCCATGACCCTCACCTGCTGTGGTCCCGTGACCCTCACCTGCCGGGTAGTCGCTGCGGTTCCCATGACCCTCACCTGACCTGTGGTCCCGTGACCCTCAACCAATGCCCGGTAGCTCGTGGTTCCATGACCCTCACCGGCCTGCTGGGTCCCGTGACCCTCACCGTTCGTAGCTCGTGGCTTCCCATGCCCTCACCGTGCGCTGTGCGTCCCGTGACCTCACGCTGCCGGGAGCGGGGTGTCCATGACCGTCACTGCGGTTAGCCGTGGTCCCGTGACCCTCACCTTGCGGCCTAGCCGTGCGTCCCGTGACCCTCACTGCGGTAGTCGTGGTTCCCATGACCCTCACCTGCTGTGGTCCCGTGACCCTCACCTGCAGTAGTCGTGGTTCCCATGACCCTCACCTGCGCGTAAGCCGTGGTCCCGTGACCCTCACCTGCGGTAGCCGTGGTCCCGTGACCCTCACCTGCGGTAGTCGTGGTTCCCATGACCCTCACCTGCTGTGGTCCTGTGACCCTCACTATCAGTAGTCGGCTGCGTTCCCATGACCCTCACCTGTGTGGCCCCGTGACCCTCACCTGCCAGAGTCGGGCTTCCCATGACCTCACCTGCGCGTTAGCCGTGGGTTCCGCGCTGACCCTCACCTGCGCGGTAGCCGGGGTCCCGTGACCCTCCCTGCGGTAGTCGATGCGTTCCATGCACCCTCACCTGCGGGTGCCACCCCAGCAGGCATAGGTCGGGGGGTCCCATGACCCTCACCGCAGTAGTTGTGGTTCGCGCGAGCCCAGCCGGTGGCGCGTCCGCGCGTGGCGCCCGGGTGTTAGGCTTCCGGCCAGGCGCGCGCTGCTTGCCAACTGACGGCTACCGCAGGTGAGGGTCACGGGGCCACGGCTACCGCAGGTGAGGGTCACGGGGACCAGGACTACCGCAGGTGAGGGTCACGGGGACCATAGCTACCGCAGGTGAGGGTCACGGGGACCACGGCTACCGCAGGTGAGGGTCACGGGGCCACAGCTACTGCAGGTGAGAGTCACGGGGACCACGGCTACCACAGGTGAGGGTCACGGGGCCACAGCTACCGCAGGTGAGGGTCACGGGGCCACAACTACTGCAGGTGAGGGTCACGGGGCCACGGCTACCGCAGGTGAGGGTCATGGGACCACAGCTACTGCAGGTGAGGGTCACGGGGACCAGGACTACCGCAGGTGAGGGTCACGGGAACCACGGCTACCGTGGGTGAGGGTCACGGGGACCACAGCTACCGCAGGTGAGGGTCACGCTGCCACACCAGACCAGCCGGGCTCTGCAGAGAGACAGAACCAGGGCGACACAGATGTCCGCAGACAGACACATATATACGTTTATTTTAAGGAACTGGCCCGCGTGACTCTGGGGACTGTCAGGTCTGAAACCTGCGGCGGCAGTGGGCTGGAAACATGGGCAGGGGCTGGGGCTGCGTTCCCCGGGCGGCATTTCTTTCCAGCTCTTGCTTTTAAGGCCTTCCGCTGATTGGATGAGGCCTGCCCCACTGACTGGGATAATCTCCTTCACTGAAAGCCAAGCGACTGTAAATGTCAGCCATATCTACAAAACACCTTCACAAGGCCGGATGAGAGCTGCATTAATAACCGGGCACTATAGCCACGCCAAGGTGACACGTGAGACTATCACGGTCCTCGTCAAATTGGCATCCGCACACATGTCCTTAAACAACCACCCTCGGTCTCCAAGCACAGACCATAACTGAGTCATGCTTCTGCCCAACACGAGGCAACCATCCAGGGCACAGCCCCGGGTGCACCGACCCTTTCCCCAGAAGAGCGTGCACAGCCCTTGGGGCCACGAGGGAGGCTTCGCTTTGACCTCCCCTGCCCCTCCCTGGCTTGATTTTTCAGAAACCCGGACCAAGACTCGAAGCCCTGGTGCTACGTCTTCAAGGCGGGCAGGTACAGCTCAGAGTTCTGCAGCACGCCCGCCTGCTCCAAGCGTAAGTGGCAGTCCCCCCACGCCACCCCGCCGTCCCTCAGTGTCTTGGAGGACAGCGTCCGGGAGGACCAGGCTGCCTGTCCTGCAGCTGAGGAGAGGGGCGGGCAGGCAGGAGTTAGTCCTTTTGACTGCAGAGGGAAGAAAGTCAGGAGACTCAGGTCTGTGCCCCACTTCACCTCTGACTGGCTGTGTGACCCTCACCTCTCTGACCCTCAGTCTCCCCGTCTTAGCGAGGAGAGGATGGGGCTGAATCCGTGGTTTTCAGCCCTTCTGAGAATGAACGGAGATTTCCATGTTTTTGATGAATGGGCCCTTCTCTCTCTCCCTCTCAAGGCTTTTTTTTTTTGAGACAGAGTCTTGCTCTGTTGCCTGGACTAGAATGCTGTGGCGTCAGCCTAGCTCACAGCAACCTCAAACTCCTGGGTTCAAGCAATCCTCCTGCCTCAGCCTCCCGAGTAGCTGGGACTACAGGTGCACGCTACCACCACCAGCTAATTTTCCATTTTTAGTAGAGACTAGGTCTTGCTCTTGCTCAGGCTGGTTTCGAACTCCCAACCTCGAGCAATCCACTCGCTTTGGCCTCCCAGAGTGCTAGGATAACAGGCATCAAGGCACCGCGCCAACCCCTTCTCAAGCCTTATTTTATTTTATTTTATTTTATTTTATTTATTTTATTGTATTTTATTTTATTTTGAGACAGAGTCTCGCTCTGTTGCCCAGGCTAGAGTGAATGCCGTGGCGTCAGCCTAGCTCACAGCAACCTCAAACTCCTGGGCTGAAGCGACCCTTCTGCCTCAGAGTAGCTGGGACTACGGGCATGTAGCCACCATGCCCGGCTGATTTTTTGTATATATTTTTAGTTGGTCAATTAGTTTCTATTTTTAGTGGAGACGGGGTCTCGCTCTTGCTCAGGCTGGTTTCGAACTCCTAACCTGGAGTGATCCACCCACCTCGGCCTCCCAGAGTGCTAGGATGACAGGCGTGAGCCACCCCGCCCGGCCTCTCAAGCCTTTTAATGTGAAAAAATCTTCCCAGATTGAAAAAAATACTAAGCTACAAAAAGGGTACTATGAATTCAGTGGTGCTTTTACAAGCAGTTATGCATTGATCACAACAGTGTGAAAGATACGTTTTAAAGCTCTAACTAATGCACACAGAAGTCGCATGCGTTCAGTGTGGGGTCTCCCAGCAAGGCCGGGGCACCTGTGAGCTCCAAGATGTCGCAGCATCTCGACAGCACCGGCCCCATCCGCCAGGCGACGGTCTGAGTTAGGACCCACCGATGTAGATTATCTTGAAGGTCCCTTCCTGTTAGGGTCTTCACTCACAGAGGCCCCTTTCACACGGGGAGAAAAGAATGGGGCGAATAAATGGAAACAGGCAGCATCCTACGAATTCCACTTCCTCTTCCTTCCCAAGCCCAGCAAGCCCTTCAGCGCCCTGGCACCCCAAACCTGAGCGGTTAGGGCCCCCGACACACCTGCCCCCCACCCCCCAGTGCAGCACCTCGGTTTGCTGCAACCTGGCAGAATAAACAAGGAAACTGCTAGGCCGGGTGGCTCACGCCTGTCATCCTAGCACTCTGGGAGGCCGAGGCGGGCGAATGCTCGAGGTCAGGAGTTCCAAACCAGCCTGAGCAAGAGCGAGACCCCGTCTCTACTATAAATAGAAAGAAATTAATTGGCCAGCTAATATATATAGACAAAAATAAGCCGGGCATGGTGGTGCATGTGTGTAGTCCCAGCTACTCGGGAGGCTGAGGCAGGAGGATCGCTTGAGCCCAGGAGTTTGAGGTTGCTGTGAGCGAGGCTGATGCCACGGCACTCACTCTAGCCTGGGCAACAAAGCGAGACTCTGACTCAAAAAAAAAAAAAAAAGGAAACTGCTAATACCTTTCAAACAGCCCAGAAGCAGCCTCCACTGACGGCACAGGGCTCCCTCCTGCTGGCAGCCTCGCCCCACAGCCTCCTGGGAGGCCGCAGCCAGTGGTGGAGGTCAGAACCCGAGAGGAGACTGTGTGCCGTCCGCGAGTAAAAGGGCTTGAGGAAGGGGGTGGGGGAGGCGGGAGGTGCCGCTCTCCGGGTGCCAGGCTGGCCACCGCCGGCCTCTCCGGCCCCTACCTGCGCCTCCAGCCCCGGCCCGACCTGCCCCCCGCCGCGTTCGACGGGTTTCGCCTCAGCTGGAGGTTTCTTTTCTTCCAGGAGAAAACGGGGACTGCTACTTTGGAAAAGGGTTAGCGTACCGTGGCAGCCACAGCCTCACCACGTCCGGGGCCTCCTGCCTCCCGTGGAATTCCATGGGCCTGATGGGCAAGGTCTACACAGCGTGGACCTGGAGCGCCCGGGCCCTGGGCCTGGGCCGACATAACCACTGCCGGTGCGAGAGCAGGGCCCGAGGGACTGGGCCTCCGTGGAGGCAGGGCTGGGCCGGGCTGCGGGGCGGGAGGAGAGCTGGTGCCTGGGGTCCCCACAGACCCCGGGGCGGGCGGGGACCAGGGGCGCCATCTGGCCCGACCCACTGGTTCGCTAGAGTCTCAGCCATTGAGAGGAGCAGGCGCGCGGGGGCGTTCCGACCAGAACCCCAAGTTAGGGCTCCCGTCCTATCACCCCCGTCCTCAGCTGCTCTGCCCGCACCTGTCACCGCTGTCCTGTGAACCGAAGGGTCTCCACAGAGCAGTGCACCGTCCCTCCCCGAGGCCCTGCCAGGCCAGGGAGCTGGCTCACAGTAAAGGAAAGGGCGGTCACCCCCCTAGCGCGGGTCTGCCACCAAGCCCAGCCCGGCTCGAGCGCGACGAGCGATGTCTCTGCTCTCGAAACCGTGAACTCCTTGACCCTTTAGGAACCCAGACGGGGACATCAAGCCCTGGTGCCACGTGGTGAAGGACAGCAAGTTGACGTGGGAATACTGTGACCTGCCCCAGTGCTGTAAGGGCTGGTCCCGGACTCACCCCCTTTGGCTGGCGTTGCTTCTTAGCCATCCGTCTCCGCACCGCTCTGTGCTCACCGCTCTGTGTGTCTTCCCGCCGTGTGCCGGGCTGCCGGGCCGCGGTGGGGGCTTCCTGGACTCGGGCAGTGCTGGGCGGGGACACTCACGCGCCCGGGTGTCCCCTCCCGGGTGGGGTGTGAGCGGGGGCTGGGGGACGAAAGAAAGGAAGGCACCAGCTTCTCTTAGAAGTCAGCAGGCTCTAAACCTTTCTGGACGCCCAGTCCGTGCTGACGGTGACGGTAGTGTGACTGCGAGGAGAATCTCACACGTGGCTCCTTACGTGACCAGTAACGTGGAGAGGGGTCGTCCTTGTGTCTACAGTCACGGATCAGAAAGCAATCTCTCTGCCGGGCGCGGTGCTCACGCCTGTCATCCTAGCACTCTGGGAGGCAGAGGCAGGAGGATCGCTCGAGGTCAGGAGTTTGAAACCAGCCTGAGCAAGAGCGAGACCCCCGTCTCTACTATAAATAGAAAGAAATTAATTGGCCAGCTAATATATAGAGAAAAAATTAGCCGGGCATGGTGGTGCACGCCTGTAGTACCAGCTACTCGGGAGGCTGAGGCAGGAGGATTGCTTGAGCCCAGGAAATGAGGTTGCCTGGTGAGCTAAGCTGACGCCCACGGCACTCACTCTAGCCTGGCAACAAGAGCGAGATTCCTGTCACAAAAAAAAAAAAAAAGAAAGCAATCTGTCAGCACTCAGGTGGCGGACGAGTCCCACCTAAGCTGCTCCCGCGCCTCCTCGGCGTGACCCTAAAGGCCCGTCCTTCTCCTGTGGACTCGGCCTCATTCCCCACTGAGCACAGGGGGACTGGGTCAACGGCAGGTGCTGAGAGACAGAACATCCAACTTGGTGCACATTGGTAAAAAATGAAATCTTAGTTTGAAAGTTGTCACTCCGTTCCTGTGAACGCATAGATCAGCCAGAATGTTCCTCAGGGAACAGAGTCTCACCGGGAAAGGTGAGAGAAAGACCACCAGTTAAGGCAGTAAAAGGCACAGAGGCCAGGCCACGGCGGTCCCTCCTGTATCCAGCATCCTGGGAGGCCTGAGGCAGGAGGATCGCTCGAGGGTGAGGAGTTCGAAACCAGCCTGAGCAAAAGCGAGACTCGTCCTTACTATAAAAATAGAAAGCAATTAATTGGCAGTAATATATATATAATACAGAAAAATGAGCCGGGCGTGGTGGCGCATGCCTGTAGTCCCAGCTACTCGGGAGGCTGAGGCAGGAGGATCTCTTGAGCCCAGGAGTTTGAGGTTGCTGTGAGCCTGGCTGACGCCACGGCACTCACTCTAGCCTGGGCAACACAGCGAGACTCTGTCTGAAAAACAAAAGTGACAAGCCAGTTGGCTGGCCCAGAGCGGCAGTGGGGTGTTAAGGACAGCTCTGTGCAGGGCTGGCTGCATGGACGGAGGGCAATGGGCAACCTCCCTCAGAAGCAAGTCATAAGGCTTATATCTTAAGCCAGGAAATGGCTGTAAGAAAAACTCAGAAGGAGGGAGGTATCGCAGAAAGACCCCCAGGTTGGGAGTCAAGCAGACCAGGGTGCTAATCCAGCTGCCACTGTAACCACGGGGAAATTTCTCAGCCTCCCTGAAATTCAGCATTGTGAGAGTTAAAGATGACATATATGCAATACTCGGTGTGTTGCACCCAACAGATGAAGTTGTGGTTTTTGTCACCGTGGAGACCGTTCCGTCACCCTGCGCCTACACGAGT